AGGGAAGCACGATTGCCTTCCTAATCCCATCTCTTTTTATCTTTCCTGCATTTAAGCAAAATGTGAGGACTAATTCCCATGGTTCGATTAACTTAAAAAAAAAAAAAAACGGCAGAGACAATTCCGGCCTCTTACTGCTTCCTTTGATACCCATGTGTGTTAAAATCAGGTTTTCATTGGCAGTAACAATTCACAAGAAACAGTTTCCTCTAAAGAAACAAAGTGTATCTCGTTCAAAATAAGGTTTTGATTGACTAATTTTTGTGCCAAAATAAATATACTTAGCTAGTGGTGTTATGTATTGAGGTCTGCAGTAGAGCTTTTGTTGATGCTTAGTGTATATTGCATTTTACTGTCACATGTGCCACTCAGAGAGCCATTTTTCCTGGTATTTAGTGTAGTCACGATGCAGTGTGGTTCCCAGTTAAGAACTGCAGACAAACAGAAAATGCTCTAGGGAACCCTGTGTGGTTTTGCCTCCTCCCTAAGTGTGCTGAGCTCTGCTACGTTAAAATTTTACCGTCTTCTGATTGCTAAAGCAATACCATAGTTGTGTTTGAAACCTGTGGTGCTTTCCAGATGATGCAGGTGATGATTTGAAGAAAAGGAAAAAAAAAAAAAAAAAAAGAATACATGTTTATATGTGCAAGTTGAATATCTAAGGCCGGTAATGACAGCGAGAAAGCAGTGGAATGGACAGTATATTCCAAACTGGCTAAATCAGAATATGAGGGTATTAGGAATTACATCAGCTGTGCATAATGAGGTATGGCAAGGAGCTGGGTGTAACTGCCCAAATATATTTTTTTTTTTCCTACAGTACAATGCATATGCTGAACAGCTGACAGAGTTTGTCTTGTTATCAACTTTCCTATTACGGACTGCCTACAACCTCACAAGAGTCTTTGAAAGGAGACCATCCAGCTCTGAATCTGCTTACAAATGGACATAAAACTCCTTTGAAATTGGTGCAGGAATAGGCTTCTTGCTGTTGTTTGTCCACATAAAACCAGTGAAGGTTTCCAATGAGGCTGTCACACCTGAGGTTGAGTAATAATGGCTGAGCAGGGATATCTCAAACCACAGTTGACCTTATCATCTGCTATGTGTCCTGGAAGACCCAGAGATGAAGAGGTTCATAGAGTTCATCTCAAATCCTGTAAATCAGTTCATAAGAGTCTTCCTCTCCAATAAGGACTGAACTTTATTAATAATATTAAATATTACATAATCTCAAATATTGTTATAGGTGGCAGGTGTACTTAAGCTTGAACTAGAACTTGTACTGAAGCTTGAACTAGAAAAGCAGAATCAAGGATGAGCTTTCTTTTTTTGCCTTTCCAGGAACAGGTCATTTTGTTCCAAGATAAACTAGATAGTTCTTTGAAATATAACAATTCTTCTATTTAAAAAAAAAAGGTTGGAATGGAAAAAACTCTTCATGTCTAGAAAGTGGACAGGAAGAAAAACACTCTAAGATGTACTTTTCATCCTAAAAATAGGTTATAACATGATGAAATCCCATTTAGACAAGCTGTCTTGATACTCAGAACACAGTTGTCATAGTAACAGAATTTATTTATCCTTTTCTTCCTGATCCAGTCAGAAAGAAATACAAACAACGGGGACATACAGGGAACTTGTTCCCAATTGCTATTGCTTACCTTCATACTCCTCTTCTGAAAAGCCTTTTAATATACAAGTAGGTAGCCAAAACACTTTTATTTCATTGTCTCATACATGTTGGAGAAAAAAAATATATTTTTTTAATGCTCATTAGTTATTTGCCTTAGATTATTTTTCATATATTTCTGTGTACTCACCTGAAGTACCTTTTATTTACCATAAGCAATATTTCTAAGGCAGACTGTAACAGTTCCAGTATTCAGGTTAGGAGAAGCTGATATTCACTATATTAATTCCTATAAACGTTAGGGCAATAAACAGACTCCTATCTTGCAAAGGAAAAAGTGATTATGTAAAAAAGACCAGAAAAATCCCCGTAACTCACTTCTGTGTAACTTTAATGTGATGTTATAACAAGACTTGTTTATTGGAGTTTTTTTCAGGTTGGACACTGGAAAACATTTTGCCCAAGTGAACAATTTGAGCAACAATCCAAGCAACAGCAGTAATGACTCAAAGGTACTACAGTCTTAAATGGAGTTAAAAATGAAACAAGTCAAATATTCCATCTTGCATAAAGAATTTCCTGAATTACTGTTTTCTGATGGCAATTCTTCCATAGAGGCTAGTTTGTGAAATTTACACAGATTAAACAGGTTGGTTTTTACACAGGTTGGGGTTTTTTTCTATAAAAATATGTGCTTTGTGAATTTTTTCCATATGGATGAATTGCTAAAAGATGAACTAAAAACATTCTCAAGTAATTCCTGAGGTATGAAAAATCACTGTAGTTAATTTCTTGGTGAAGGATTTCAGTGTCTTTGGATATAATCTGATTTAAAAAGTACAATCAAGTGTTGACATATATTTTTTTGAAAGAAAGAAATATTTTTGTCTCAGCAGTAAAAACCCATCACAAACCCTTTGCTTTCCAGATATAACATGAAATTATACACAATTTAACTCTTTAAATTTAACTTTGGTGTTTCATTCAACAGGACAGTTGAAAAGGACAAAAGTTGGTTTGCTTTCTTCAAAGGAGTTCAGATCTGAGTAAACATTTATCCACATTCAGAAATCACAGAGATTTTGAGCAGTACCTATATGTAAGCAAGATGTGAATGTTAAACTTAGCCAAAATTCATAAGGAAACTACAACTCCTACTTTGATTTTTAGGTTTTCAAGATTTTCTCAATGGCATCTGTTCTTTCACTAATTTTGGAAAAACAAACACTCCGTTAGATTACTTTTATTGGCACTTTTAAAAAATGCATGCTGTAGTACTTTTCTACCTCTGCCACAGAAGGACCAATTTTTTCTGGAATCTTTCTTCTGTCTGATTTCAGGCAAGCTATGTCTGTCTTTTCATCTCTGTATCTAAGAAGGGCACCTCAGGCTTCCACCACCCATCTGGACCCCTTGAAGACTGTTCCTCACTTCCAAACTGAGAAGCTCTTGAACTAGCAAGAAATGAAATGCACTGAAACCAAAGAGGAAATGGAGAAAAACATATTTTACACAGTAATTTATACACTTTAAATACATTTTTATTAAAACATTTGCTTTTAATGACTTGTAGAAATCCACAATCTTGGAGCCATCAGAAGCTGGTGACTTCCTTCAATAATGTTGAAGGAAGAAAAGGTACATTCTGCTTTAGCAGAATTTCTTCTTACTTTTAAGATTAACTAGTTGGATTTAGTAAGTTTCTTTGAACTTGTCAAGATTCACCTTGTCCCTTTTAAAGTATGCTTTAAAGAAAACTACTTTCACAAACAGACAGTAATCACAGATAAAGGTTCAGCATGCAGCAAAGGGCTGAAGTACAGGAAAACCACAAGGAACAAACAGGTGTTACAAAGATTGTGCTTTTAAGAAACTACCCACAGAGACAACAGTGACTGCAGATGAAAGACTGCTTAAAACTGAACAAGAGATAAAATGTCAGGGTTGCAATAGTTTTAGGTCACCTAACAGACAGCTAGAGTTTAAAGTTCACATTCAGTATAAATGAGACAGTATGCCTGTGATTATGCAGAGAGGCAAGCTGCAGCACAATGCCTGAACTCTCAGAGAAAGGCTGCTGAGCTGATACCAGGGTTGGCATGACTGACTCACTCAGGAATTAGGCACCAGATTTGAAAGGCTTGTGTTCATACACTGGATGGTCTGCTCTGCAAGATGAGTGGAGCAGGAGGGTTGGTATCTGTGTCTGTGAAGATGGAAAACTTCTCTACCTCTGGCAATATTGAGCAACAGCACCAATAAACCTTTGCCTTTTAGGTCTGTTGCAAGCTTCTTCATCCAACAGTTCTGCTGTCACTGAAACACTCAGAATCCCTCTCTGTGAGTCTCTCTCTCTCTGTGTGAGAGTGAGACAGACTCAGAAACCGAGACTGTCACACTCAGAGAAAGGCCACTAGCATTTCACACCCATTTATTTCATTTGCTTGCTTTTCCATAAGAAAACAGCAGAGTGCACCAGCAGCTAAGTTTATATCAAGGCTTACCCCTTAGTTACTTAACACATACATTACACTTTAAGGACATTTGTATATGCCCTTTTTCACAGGATTCTTAGCACATACATATTTGTTATATGCCTTTATCACAGGATTCTTAGCACATACATATCTGTTTATTGGAATCAGAATTTGTCCTGTATGGTCTCCATTTTTTTAAAATCGACAAGAATATATGTGGGATCTTTACAAAAAGAGGTCTTTCTTGGGTTTAACACAAATTATGATTTGGGTATTCTTGGCTTTGTGGATGTTTTAAGCCAAAAACCAGTGGATTAGGTTTCAAAATATTTTAGATGTTTGGCAGATGCTTGGTAACTAATTTGTGCAAAAAAATCCAGCAAGTTTTAACACTGATCAAATAAATGCGCATAACAGAAAACAAATGCACTTAATAGTCCATCCTACTTCATTAATGAAATGTGCAGAATCTTGCTGTGTCTATTTGTGGGAGAGTAGGACTTACCATGTTGCACATCTTCTGCTCTCTACAGCCATTCCTGTTAAGTTACTTTATTGCCCAGTCCATTTTAATACAACGTAATTCCCAACGTATAATACAATGTAACATTTCCCAGAAAACCAACTACTGTATTTCCATTATTCAGCTGTAAAAATAGTTCCCAAATTCATATGTACTTTTGAAAGTTAATAACAAGGTATCATTGTAGGGATTTCAGAGATCAAGCTACAAATTTCCATATATATTTGATATATTATTTTCATTAAGTATTTCATATTAATAAGGAACACTTGTATATATGTTTTTCTTTTGTTTGTTCGTTTAACTTATATTTGGCAAAAAAATCAGGTTGTAACAAATTTCAACATAATAAAGATCCATGGGATCAAAAATGTGATAGAAAGTGACCTTCCTCTGTCACTTAAAGCTCCTGCTCTCTTACTAAGAATCCACCTTGGGAAAGATACTGACTTTATTGTTTCTGCTGACTTTTTTTTCTGCTTTACACTTAGGCTGTTTTGTCTGGATTAGCTCCTCAGGGGTATTCCCCAAAGGAGGCAAGAGTCGCTTCTTACTGTTTCGGTTTTCTGAGAGCCACTGTGGAGGCAGCTCAAAGGGTCCAAAACCACACTGCATGGAATACTTATCATTTACTGTATCAGCTTCTGTGGGCACAGCTGGGGCCACCTGAGCTGCAGAGTCTGCAATTGTCCGTGGTATAAACCTGTGAACTGAAGTCAGTCCTAGCTCTAAACTGGTGCTAGGAATTTCTTTCTGTTGAAAGTCACCAGAGCCAATGGATTTGATCTCATTCTCCTCATCTTCCGTCGGCTTGAAGATTTGTTGTTGCCCAATATGAAACATCTCCAGAAGCTGGCTTCCTGAATGGACACTGGGCTCCAGATTATCATCTGCAATACCACCCGAGCTGACAATGTTTCTCCTGCTGAACCTTCGGTGCAGCTGCACTATTGTCCCCACTAAGCACTTCCGTACCGATTTGTTAACAGTTAAAAATAACAAAGGGTTGGCCAGCAAAGAGACCTTGGGTAACCAAATAGCAGTGAGGAGCAAGAAGACTGAAATATCTGAAATATTGAGTATGGCGCGGTAAATCACCAGAGTCACGTAGGGGACACTGCAGAAGATAAATACCATTACCATAGAAAGCAGCATGATGTGGAGCTCAGCTTCCCGCTGGGAGGCATAAGGGATAGAAACTGTATTCTGAGGGGTCCTTAGTGCAGCTATAATGACTTTTTTCTTCTGGCTGGCACTCAGTGCTCTGCGAATAAGAATCATAAAGAGAAATACCACAGCCACCGGTACAATCACAGTGGTGATATTGTAGATGATGACATATATCAGGGGGCCAAGGGAGTAACTCCAAGATTCAGAGCAAGTGGACATGGCATAAATATCAGACACATTGGTCACAGCAAATACTGGAATGCTGGCCACTATTGCATGGGCCCAGATATAGATAACCAAGTCTCGGGATTTTGCATCAGATATTTTTCTTTCCAGAGGATATAAAACAGAGTAGTATCTGTCAAAAAAAAAAAAAAATTAATTATTTTCATGGCCATACTGCTTATGAGAAAGAAACCTCTCAGGAGCCATCTGAGCATAACGCTCCAAATTCCTAACTGGGTTGCCAACTGACTACCTGTTTATGAAAGGGAAAAGAAAAGAAAAAGAAAAAAAACCGAAACAAAACAAAACCAAAAACCAAAAACCCCCAAAGGTCTGCCTTTTTAGGTCTTTCTGTAGAAAAAACCTGACTATTTAAACGTCAAGATCACATTTTTTGTGGTAAAAATTTCTTTCAATACATCACTTTGGCTGATGCATATGAATATTATTTTGAAGATTTCACCATTAACCCACTTGTAAACTAGACAGTACATTGCAGACACTCAAAATTTCAAAAGGCATTATGGAGGCATGTGTCACATTCAATAGCCAGACTCATAGTTTTAGAAGCTGCTTTATAACAACTTTTATAACAAAATCCAGATTTTTTCTGGATATTTGGAAAAAGCTGTTGGTCACAAATTACATGTTATTACATTACAACTATTGGAAGTACAATGATGTTTTGTTTTGCACAAGCTGTGGTTGGCAAGCCCTGAGCAAAAGCATTGCTGAACACTGAACATTCCGTGTGCATTTTTTAAAAAAGTGCATCTCTGACATGCACTTCAAATTTCAGACGTTGATTGTTTGCTTACTACAGGAGTACTCCTGTGGACTTTTAAGCTCACACAGTTTTCATGAAAGACCTAACTTTTCACACTTATCAATATAAGCAGTAGGAATTTGTAGTTTTTGTGAAGCAGATCACAAGTTTTCAACTGATATGCTGTTCCATTTCCAATATTCGTGTGCATTACAGATAGTGATACCACATTTACCAAGACAAGGGGAGAAAGAAAAAAGAAAAATCCAGGATCATGGCAAATTTTCCCCATTACCTGTCAAGAGCAATGGCTGGAAAACTAAGGATGGTCACTGAGCAGAAGACTTTGTGCAGAAACTTGGCAATTCTGCAGAAGAGCATCGTATAGATCCACCAGCAGCAGTGTGGACTGGCACTAAGAGCAATGTCAAAAGGCACACAGACTAGGCTGGCACAGATCCCCGAGCAGGCCAAATTCTTAATGAACCGGTTTGTTACCGATTTGAGTAGCGATGTTCTGCAAGTTGACCACAGCACCATGATGTTACCTGTGAGTAGAGACACGAAGCATAAAAAAAGGAAAACGGGCAAACATACAACTAACCGCAGGCCCCAATAACAATAATCTTAACAGATTGGAATGTTCCCTAGTACTGCAAATGAAAATAATTGGAGTTTGCCATGTATCACTGATTTGGATCATGATGCTGCTCAAATTAGGAAGTCAGTAAGGGCTAGTGGCTTCATGAATCAGAAGGCTGAAAACAAATTACACCCCAGGTATCCCCTCCCAGCTTCTGGTAATAAATGAACTAGGGGATTTCAGAGGCAAATGCCTAAGAAAACTATCTAAACCATATTTTTAGATACTTATGTTGATTCCTGTATTAAATGGTCTATCCCAAGTATTCAAATACAGAAACTGGCTAAAGTGTTTGTATTTTAATAAATAGTACAGAATCATTTTTTAAATATAAAAATTTACATTATTACAGATTTACACTACGTAAATAGTAAATTTACACTATGTAAATACAGATACAATTAAAATATTAATATAAGTATGTAGTTTTAATCTGTTTGTAAGTGGATTACAGCAGCTTGCTTTTCTTTTCATTTTTCAATTTCATTCTTCAATGGCACAGACAGGCCTGTGTAAAGTCACATCCAGAAGAAATCTGCCTTCCCCCCCTCACCCAAGACATTCTCTGTGTACATAATAACAAAACAAATAGGACAAGCAGAACAGAAAAAAAAAGACTTGCTGCACGTAACTTCACAGAAGTACACACAGAATGCAACCTGCTGATTCAGATGTTCAAGCTCTATATATTTGTTTCAAATAGGGTGGGTGGATAGCAGTGAAGCAGAAGTACAGAAAAAAATAGGATTAGCTACGACAGTATTTTCCCCTTATCATTGCATTCCATCCAAATCTCAGAAAGAAATATCGTATGACAGACACAAGTTCTCCATCATAAATTTCCCTATGATTCTACCTTACACAACAACAGCACAAGAGTAAATTAAGTGATCTGTTCTTACCCCTTCTAATGCATATCAAGATACCATAAAATTCACAGGATTTTCTCTCTCCTTTAAAAATCTATCTTTAGAAAGATCACAGAATCATAGAATAGTTCGGGTTGAAAGGGGCCTAAAAGATCATCTCGTTGCCATGGGCAGGGACAACTTCCACTAGACCAGGTTGCTCAAAGTCCTATTCAACCTGGCCTTGAACACATCCAAGGATGAGGCATCCACAATGTCTGTGGGCAACCTGTTCCAGTGCCTCACCACCCTCACAGTAAAGAATTTCTTACTAATATCTAATCTAAACCTGCCCTCTTTCAGCTTAAAGCCATTTCCCCATGTCCTATCACTACATGCCCTTGTAAAAAATCCCTTTCCAGCCAGCTCTCTTGTAGCCCCCTTAAAGTACTGAAAGGCTGCAACGAGGTCTCCCTGGAGCCTCTTCTTCTCCAGGCTTAACAACCCACCTACTTTAGGCTGTCTAGATCAAGTGTTTCAGGTTTCTGATCTATGGAGGCAAGGATCTCTGCTAGCACAGCTGAGTAGGGCACACTCATGTAACATCATGCAACAGCATCATGTAACAGCATCAGGTAACCTGGTCCCAGCTTTCCAGCCCTGACCTCACAGACATTCTTTTTCTCCTTTATTTTATTTCTCCCAAAGCTGTACTGTGCAGTACCACTAGATCAGTCAAAGCATAGCTACCAGCATACAAATACTGCTCGACAAGACAACTCCATTTATTCTCTGCAGCTGGACAGTGTTCAAAGTGGAGTTTAGCTTCCCACCTCCCAGCAAAGTTAAACTGTTCTTACTGCAGACCATATCAACAGCCACATTGTGGATACTCTGTATTGTTGACACTTACCAGAAGTTCTTTTGAGTTGAAGTGTAATTGATTAATGTGGCAGATTTGTTAGCGTTTTTGTAGGTTACCTACAAATAGACATAATGAAAGAAAACAGCATCTTAAGCTGCTGGTTGAGATATGAAAAAGCAGCTGCAGTCCCCCAACACTTCCCTCTGCTGACTTTATCATTCTTTGCCTTGATTTCTCCTCCAATCAATAAAAACCCCCAAAGCTTTTACGTGCCAAGTAGAGTATTCCAATGGCTGTCCATGTAAAACACCAGCAAGACCATATTCTTGTTCACATGGCCAATGTGTATACCAAGTGGCAAGTACCAAGAATTGGCAAAAAGTCGACTTCTGCTTCTTGATAAAACAGCACTGTTTCAACTGAAGCATGCAATATCAACTTTAAAATCAATCTCACACACCTCCTATTTCAGTCTGCAGTACCTGAATGTCATTTGGGATTCAATTTTCTATATATTGTGTCATGTGTCTTATGCAAATTCCTTTTGGTACTGACAAAATATTGAGTTACATCTCTAATATCTAATGTATTTTGAAGAAAGGAATAATCATCTGGTTTTGGCAGGTGATTTGGGCCCAACAGTGTATTCCTCTGGCAGTATTCAATCAATTGTATTTAAAGCCTTCTAAGTTGCTAAGAGATACTCAGTCAATCAAACCACTTGCTTTCAAAAATATCTCCAACTCTCCAGCTATTAGAAAGTACTTCTAACAGTAATAATATATTTTTACAATGCCCTGGAGAGGGGAGAAAACCAGCTTTTTTGTGTGTTTTTGTTTGTTTGTTTAGAATTAACTCAGATCTTTCATCTAGTTTCAATTGCATTGATAACATTAATTCCCAAGCAAGTTTCACCTTCATTAGAATTAATATAAATGAAGAATGGAAAACTAAAAGAAATCAGAAGTGTTTTCATTAATACTTCAGAAGCCTCTAGAGAACTACTAAGCTTCCCTTCAGGGTCCTGCAGAGGAGCTTCACAGAAGACTCCATATTATCAGCTGTTGAATTACTTCTGCAAATTATGTCAAATTGGCATTTATACATCAGAGAGTCACAAGGAAATGAAATTAGCTCTGTTCTGACTGATCCTAAATGGGAAGAATGAAGTATAAAAAAGTACTGGTTCAAAGACAAGGAGGAACTCTTTAAGCAGATAAAATAAAATCAGAGCCTGAAAGGCAAAAAAGGATAAGCAGACAGAAGTGTCCACTTGGGACACTGGAAAATTATGGAATAATGGAATATCCCTCAGGGAAACATTATTTTTTCATTTTCAACTATGATTTATCTATTAATAAATTGCTCTAATGAACCAGATCAGCTTTACTATAGACTGGTAGATCTTTGTGCTGATGCCTTCAAATCAAGTCTTTCCCTTCATACATCCCAAAGCAGAGGTAAAATTATCGCAGAAATTTTGCATGGTATTAAATATAAGAAGCTTTGGAACAAAACTACAAACATTTCCCATTTCATTGTTCCTCAGTTTTCCCCAGCAACTTCTTTCCATGGAGGAGGATAATGCTGCTCCAGGCAACAAGGCAATTCAATAAACAATTGTGCTTTGAATACCAATTGTGCTCTGAATCTTTTCACAAAGTCTAGAGGCTCTTTTCCACTCTCCATGTATTAGTCATTCACTGATGAACCTGGGAAAAATTTATTCTCCTTAGGTTGCAAGTGTACTGGAGCATTGCACATCCTCACAGTGGGCAAAGCTGTCATTTTCTACCATAGATTAGTTTCAGAAGAGCTTCTGCTGGATAACTGGTCTAGAGCAACATAACCTTGGACCCAAACTTCCCACAGGGTTTGTACTGGTTAGCTGAGAGGCATCCAAGAAAAATGGGAATGAACAAACAGCTGGAAAATGCAGCATCTTGCAATTTTCTAGGCATCAATACTGTCAGGAACATGAGATAAACAATCACATGTCACAAAGCATATCCCATATTGCCAAGTTCCACCACTAATGCAGAAAGATTAAGTGTTTTTAGTTTAAAAAGGAAAAGCATATCTTTGGTCTTCTCAGAGAGTGAGCCGTGTCTACATAAAACAACACCTGACATTATTGGACAACCTTCTCAGTACACAGACTGACTGAGCAGGACAGAAAAATCACGCTTAGAATAGAATAGCTGAAGTCGGAAGGGGCCCGGTGAGATTCATTGACTCCCTCAAGACTACCTACAACTAAACCCTATAGCTAAGAGCATCATGCAGAAACTCGCTGAACCCTGTCGGGGTTGGTGCTGCAACCACATCTCTGGGAAGCCCGTTCCAGTGACCAATCACCCTCTCAGTGAAGAACCTCTTCCTTATGCCTCACTTGAACTTCCCCTGATTGATTTCAGCTTGATTCCATTTCCTTGTGTCCCATTTCTGGTCACCAGAGAGAGGAGATCACCACCTCCCATTCTGCTGCCCCCCTTGAGGAAGGTGCAGACTGAAATGGGGTCACCCTCTGCCTTCTCTCCTCCAAGCTGACCAAGTGTCCTCAGCTGCTCCCTGTAAGTAGCTTGTCTGTGCCTTTGACCAATTGTCCAAGTAAAAAAGAAATGTGACATATTAAAGGTAACCACCTACCAAGTCAGACTTAATTTTATCCTGTTATTAGTTATCATAACTATCAACATTCAATAAATCTCCATGTACTATGTACCAACTCTATTGTATGAGATTGAAAAGATGATTGTTTCCAGTCATTTCCTGCTGTTTTTAATGGAGAAACGTCACAAATAAGCAGCTACATCGTACATTAAGTTGCACAGAAGTACACTGAGAAAGTAAATGCAGTGGTTCACCATAGCATGCTGCCCCAAAGTCCTTCTAGCCTTTATTGTGGTTCAAGTTCACTGAATCTGCAAACAGTAACATCTTCTGACCACGAAATGTTATCAGAGTACATTAGTCTGATCCAGAGCAGCAAAAATTACTTTTGCTCCTGTTCCACTTTGTACTCCTTGAATTTCGCTGCCAAATGCAGGCATCAACATCTGAGATAGTCCTGAAGTACTAGCTTTTAGCACTACTTCAAATAATGTGAAAGAGTCATAAAAATACCTTTAACAAGCAGAAGTAGGATTGCCATGGAAACCAGAGACAGTTATCTGAAGAAATGCATTTGCC